GTCTTTACATTATCAACTTAGTTGATAAAACCAAATTACCCATAAATCGTACCCGTCTGAGAAACTATAGTTCTCCGCTTTCTTTCTGCCATCATTTTTATCATTGAGCGAGATAATCCTAGCAGAGCACGGTGGAGTGTAACCGAATTTCAGGAATTGTTTTTTCTTCAACCAGATGCTGCCCTTATTCCAGAAGATCTCAAGATACTTGACCACATTCTCACCAAAGTGCTTCTACCAACAAAGAATAGAGGAGAGTGTAAGGCGCTTGTACAGAAGTATCTGTCCTGGGTAAGTTGACATTAGACATTCAGTTCAATGTACTGAATTGCCTTACGAATACCCATCACACTGAATGTGGGATTCTATGAAATGGTTTGTCCTTATCTCGGTCTGTTTATTGCACTATGCTTATGATTCTTTTTTTCCGCGTTTCTGATGCCCAGAATTCTCTGTCTGCAAACCAGCCTAGGTGGCTGCTTTCGTCTGTTTATCGATCATTGGTAACTGCTCTTTGGTACCCGATCGATGCTGGCATCATCACATAGACTGCATTATGTTGTAGCTACATAGCAGACTACCGAGTAGGCATCATGGTTTTCTGTTGTTGGTTTTGTTAAGACGATGCTCTAAATGAGCTTTTATACATTAAGTCGCTCAAAAGCGAGTTGTTCTTTCAGTCACTCTCCTAAGTTGATTATTGATCTGGGCCCAGTTCTTCAAAGAGCGGATAACACTATCCAACGGATAAATTGCTATCCAAGTGATAAGCGTAATCAATCGGATAGATATTTACTATGGGGATAGCGTTATACCTGTACCCTTGTAACAAACGGCCTCATCTTTGCTAACATTTTGACTTTTTGTCAATAGTTCGAAAAGGCGTTGAGAACAAACCAAACGAAAATTGTGGTTGAGAGTCCAATAACATCAGCTGACTGTGAGTTTCTCAGAATTACTGCCTACGTTTCCTGCTCTGTGGGATCGAGTACGTTGAATCTCAGCGCCCTCACTAAAGATGACATTCATGGATATGCTGTCGTCTTCAGGAATCTTTCCGGTAAGATAACAGTTGTATATGAATCATCAGCAATAATGCAAACTCATCGTGCCCTGTATTATACAGAAGCTCAATCATGTCTCCAGAAATTTCTCCCATGTTTACGGTGAAA